GATGTGAAATTGCAGAATTTCCTGCAGCATGTCCACTGGTCATGACTGAACTAAGAGCCCGTTCTACTGTGTTTAGTCACCATCCGGCTGAAGTCCATCAAGAACATCCAGAAAATCACCAAGTCCATGAAAATGGTGGCCGCTGCCAAGTACGCTCGGGCTGAGCGGCAGCTGAAGCCCGCCCGAGTCTACGGCACCGGAGCCCTCTGTAGGTAGACGTCGCTCGGTGGCCCCGCTCGGCCTTGAAAACGTCCGAAAAAGATGGTCTCGTCCGGTTTGTCCCGCAGCTCTGTACGAGAAGGCCGAGATCAAGGTGCCCGAGGACAAGGCGGCCAAGCACCTGATCATCGGCGTGACGTCCGACCGCGGCCTGTGCGGCGCCATCCACTCGGGCGTGGCCAAGACCATCAAGAACGAGATCGCCAACCTGACGGGCAGCGGCAAGGAAGTGATGGTGGTCAACGTGGGCGACAAACTGAGAGGCCTGCTGCACAAGTACGTTCCGGCCACGATGCCGCGCCGGCTCGCGAACGCCACCAAAATGTTTTTGCGCTCTCTTGCGTCAGAACTCACGGCAAGCACATCATGCTCAACTGCAAGGAGGTGGGCCGCAAGCCCCCCACTTTTGGGGACGCCTCCCTCATCGCCAGTGAGCTGCTCAACTCCGGCTACGAGTTTGACCAGGGAGCCGTCATCTACAACCATTTCAGGTCGAGCGCACTTTGACTTTCTCCGGCTGAAACCTCCATTTTAAAAAAAGCAAAAAAACACAAGTTACTTTTTTTGCGCTCCCATGTTGCGGTACCGCACTGAATGTGCGTCACTGTGAATCCCGAGTTGCAAGCCGGCGTTGACTTGTGCCGGACGTTTTCCTCACGCAGATCCGTCATCTCCTACAAGACGGACCGGAAGTCCCTCTTTTCCAACGACGTGGTCGCAAACGCGGGTAAGGTCTTGGGTCACCCCGGTTCCCGTCAAACATTGCGATGCTGAAACTCTTGCCTGGCAACCGCAGAGACCATGGCCGTGTACGATGACATCGACGCCGACGTGCTGAGGAGCTACCAGGAGTTCGCCATGGTCAACGTCATCTACCTGGCGCTGCGTGAGTCGTCCACCAGCGAGCAGAGCGCCAGGATGACCGCCATGGACAGCGCCAGCAAGAACGCTTGTAAGCCGGGCCCTGAGAAAAAAAAAAATCCCCAAAAAACGACACGCCGCACAATGCAGGCCTGCCTTGCGCATTTCGTAGGAGTCCCACAAGGTTTGATTTGGGTTCGGTGTCCATGTCAAGTACATACCACACAACAACAACAGCAACCAGAGTTCCCCCAAATTCATGAAATGCTACCTCTTCTATTGATCTTGTCTACGAACATAGGCAGTGACCGATTCTTTGTGTTTTTTATTTTTTTCCTTCCCGCTCCTTCCTTTTGATGGACATCCCGCCCGGTCCTCAGCCGAGATGATTGACAAGCTCACCCTAACCTTCAACCGCACCCG